TCAGAAATACCAGCAAGTTCCCTCTGCACGAGAGATACAGCAACCCCAGACAATAGTCTTGTCCTTCTGCTACAGCTCTGTTGTCTGTACCCATTAGGACCCAATTGTTTATTATAATAGAAAACATTCAAGGCTTTGAAGATGGCTCTAAGCTCAGTGAGGTGTAGCCGATATCCCTCTAGGCACAGTGAGCACGGGGTCCACATCTGGATTACCCTTTTAACTTGGGGCAAGCCAAGTTAATGCATTAAAGCAAAAATGAAAGAATGAAACCTCTGAGCACAGACAAAAGTGTAGAGAGACTCAATAGCCTATCCTTCGCTACATACCCGCTCAGGTCTCATTACAGAGAGAACCCGTCAGTGCGGTGTAGCTGATATCCCTCTAGGCACAGTGAGCATGGGGTCCACATCTGGATTACCCTTTTAGCTTATTTTAATTCCTGGTTTATGTCTTAGGTCTATAATGAGTCTCAGTTTCCCCTGTGGTTTTGGTGGCAAAAATAATCTTGATTACCAACCTTTGAGTTTCCTCTATTGGAGCCTTCTCTATGACCTCTTGAAATAATCTGATGCATGGCTTCTTGTATTATAGGATTCGCATTTCTTGAGACCTTGAATATATTTGAAGATGGGAATTTTGCAAATCTCAGCTTGTAGTCTTCTCTTTTATTCAGAGCCTATAAGTCTGAAATGCTGTGGGTCCACATAAGGCAAAAGAAATGTAGATTTCCACCAATGAGACCTGGCTGGACATAGGCACCTTCATATGTTCTTTGGTGTGCGTAATCCTCGATCTCTGGTAGATTTTGAATTTGATGTAAACATTTTTCCAGTTAGAATACCTGTTGTATGATCTACCAGATAATACAATCCTCTGTTCTGCTTTCTAGAAATGACCGATCTCTAAACCATCTGTCCTTCCAAGATGAAGTGTTGGTTCTGGAGGGAGAAAGGCCTTTCTACTGTCTGCAGCTTTCTGTATGCCTTGGTCAAAAAGCAATTCCCTTTGAAATGGAAGAGGAACATAATGATGCTTTTGTTGTATAATCTGCACCCCATGCGTGAAGCCATAATGTCCTTCTGGATGCCACCGATAAGACCAATCTTTTTGCAATTTGCAATTATCTGGATACCATCATCATGACTGCTGTACCACTTGTGTATTGGCTTAAATGCCCCATATAAAATTTACAAGTACAGAGTGCTGCAGTTTCCCTCAGTCTTTGGACACTGGGTTACAGTAACAGTCTGTTGTGTGATCTGAAGATCTGTGTGTGTGACGAAGTATTACAGCTCTGTAAAAGGGGAAGCCTCAAAACAGTAGAAAGGCAAAGTAGAATTAGGGATTATTCTAGCTCCTGTAACCAAATAAATCAAAATATTATTAAAGACAGGAGGCGAATATTTGCTTTACTTCCTTTACTGAATCCTCCCAGCAGCAAAGAAATAGTTAAACAGTTTGGACAAAAAACAACCAGAATACATATAGTCAGTAATATATGGCTGTGAGACTCCTCCCAACTCCTCTTTCTTCATGCAACCGGAATGTGATGTCAACCGTGTATTTAGAAAATGAATAATCTTCAAAGAACCGTAGTCAAACATATAAACGAAAGGTAGTCAAACCATTAGATCCACAAATCAAGGATGTCATGAAGAGTATGAAGATAGTTTCACACTAGAAAGAGAAGAAAAGTTGTTTTGGTTGCCAAATTTACAAACTTGATATGATATGTTATATACATAACTATATACACGGTTTAAATACAATCAAATGCCTAGACGGGTTAGTGCATAAGTAACACAAAGAACCTGAAACACGACAAGAATGAGGCAGACAAAACTCTTGAATACCTTACCTAAATACGAAAAGAATGAGGCACATAAAGCTCTCAAATACCTTACCTGAGTATCCCTTCATAGATGAAACCTGGAGGGGGGGGCAATATGAAAAGATGTCCGAGAAGACATAGGGTGGGAAAATATTTGCCTTCTGTCTTTAATAAAATTTAGATAATTTGGTCACTGACATTAGAATAATCCCTAATTTTATGGTAAAACAAGAGGCTTCATATTTGTTTGACATACCGTTGCAAACAATGGGCAACACAAAGAGATAGCCTGTCAGGGAAATCTGCATAAAAAAAACCCAAAAAACGGAAGGGACCTTAGTGCATAGAGCAACAGAGAAACATACACCTTCAGGAGTAAATGCAATAGCATCAAGGTCAAAACAAAAGAAAGGAGACCAAACAAAGCAGTAGGGCTAGTTTGGCAGACAGTTGCCGTAATGACAGTTCCGAGTTAGGAGGCCAAGCTTCCAGGAAGGACAAGACCTGTGCAACATCCCAAAAATGGGTATAAGAGGGTCTGGAGGTGAGGAGAAGTGAATACCCCATAGGAGCCTGCAAATGGATGGGTGTTGTCCGACAGGAACCGCATCAATCGGACAATGAGCCGCTGAAATAGCAGAACGAAAAACGTTTATCATACGGTAAGACTTGCCATCGTTGAAAAGAGATGATAGGAAATTCATGATATTCACCAGAGTCATTGAAAAGGGATCAATATCCCTTTCCAAACACCAGCAAACCCAGAACTTCCATGCCGAAAGGTAAGATCTGCGGGTTCCCGGGGCCCATAAATCCCAGAAGAGACTTCGAGCAGGGTCTGAAAGTCCCGAGATTAACCAGGATCCCCTGAAACAGTCCAGGCCACCAGCTGAAGACGTTCCTGGATGGTGAGATGACGTTAAGCTCCGGAGTGATCTCGGAGGAGATCCAGAGGCAGAAGCAGAGGGTAATCTGTGGACATTTCTAAGAGATTGGGATACCAATGTTGGTTTCTCCAGAGAGGAGTTATTAACAGGACCGTAACTCCCAGAACCCTGAGGTGATGGAGAGTGTGAGGTATCATGGAAAAAGGTAGAAACGCATAAGCTCCCGTCAACGGCCAAAGTTGTAGGAAGAAGTCGACAGCTTGAGACATCGGGTCCAGTAGCCAACTGAAGAAGTAGTCTGTCTGACGGTTCAGCCTGGAGACAAACAAATCGATCGTGATGGGCCCACGAAGCCAATGGAGATGATGGAAGACAGATTGGCTCTAGATGCCAATCGCTGGCATCCCTCCAGTAACTGGAGAACCAGGCTGCCACAAGGTTGTCTGAGCCGGGTAGATATTCTGCTCGAAGAGAGATTCCTCCCTAAACAGAACTGGTAAAGTTTTTTCAAAAGGTCCAACAGGAGCTTCGATCGAGAGCCTCCAAGACAATTGACATAGCAGACAGCGGAAACGTTGTCCATTCTGAGAATCAAAGAGCAGTTGTGAGTGTCCCTAGAGAAACTGTGAATCGCAAAGGCACCCGCCATCAGCTCGAGGCAATTGATGTGCATCGAGTGCTCTGGTTCCAGAGACCTCCCGTAGAAAGGCCAGTTCAACTGGCTCCCCACCCTAGGATGCTGGCATCACACTCAAGGACAAAATCCTGCCGGCTTCCAAATATAGCTTTCCCATTCCAGGCCTCCATGTTCTGGAGCCATCAATCTAATTCCAGAAGGACCTCCTCTGCAAGGAAAACTGGTTGGTGGTAAGACTGGGGTCTGCGAAGATATCACGTCTTGAGGCGTTGCATTGTCCTGTAATGTATGGCTTTTATCTTTGACATCGGGAGTGGAAGGATCAATAGAATGGAGTCGATCTGAAAACCCCGGAAAAGGACAGCTGGGATGGTATTAGTGTGGATTTTTCTAAATTGATTACAAAACTGGGGTTTTGTAGGAGAAATTTGGTCATATCTGTATGTTTTCGAAGAGTATGGGGGTCCTGCACCTTGATTAATATGTTGTCTAAGTAGATTATGGACCTGATACCTTGAGACCGGAGAAGGGCCATAACTGGTTTCATTAATTTGGTGAAGCACCAAGGGGCGGACGAGAGACCAAAAGGGAAGCTCTTGTTGCCATATGAATTGGAGGAAGGGACGGTGAGAGGGCTCTACCAGCACTGTAAGGTAAGCATCCCTGAGATTGAAACAGAAGAACCAATCACCCTCACAAAGCAGGTCTCAGAGCAGGTGTATGCCTTCCATTTTGAAATGTCGATACACTGTGAACTGATTCAAACTTCTCAAGTTGATGATCGGGCGAAAGTCATTTAACTTCTTCCAAATTAGGAAAATGTTGCTGACAAATCTGGAAGGGGATGACGAGGGTTCGATTGCACACTTGCCTTTGAGCTTGAAGAGTTCTGCATGGAGTACGGCGGTGTCTGATTGGAGCTTGTCACCAGTGGGGTAACTCAGGGATATGTACTTGGACCCATTCTCTTTAATGTTTTTATTAGTGATATTGCAGAAGGTCTTGATGGTAAGGTATGTCTTTTTGCTGATGATACTAAGATATGTAACAGGGTTGATGTTCCAGGAGGGATAAGCCAAATGGCAAATGATTTAGGTAAACTAGAAAAATGGTCAGAATTGTGGCAACTGACATTTAATGTGGATAAGTGCAAGATAATGCATCTTGGACGTAAAAACCCAAGGGCAGAGTACAGAATATTTGATAGAGTCCTAACCTCAACATATGAGGAAAGGGATTTAGGGGTGATTATTTCTGATGACTTAAAGGTAGGCAGACAATGTAATAGAGCAGCAGGAAATGCTAGCAGAATGCTTGGTTGTATAGGGAGAGGTATTAGCAGTAGAAAGAGGGAAGTGCTCATGCCATTGTACAGAACACTGGTGAGACCTCACTTGGAGTATTGTACGCAGTACTGGAGACCGTATCTCCAGAAGGATATTGATACTTTAGAAAGAGTTCAGAGAAGGGCTACTAAACTGGTTCATGGATTGCATGATAAAAACTTACAAGGAAAGGTTAAAGGAACTTAACATGTATGGCTTGGAGGAAAGACAAGACAGGGGGATATGATAGAAACATTTAAATACATAAAGGGAATCACAGTAAAGGAGGAGACTATATTCAAAAGAAAAAACACAAGAGGACATAGTCTTAAATTAGAGGGGCAAAGGTTTAAAAATAACATCCGGAAGTATTACTTTACTGAGAGGGTAGTGGATGCATGGAATAGGCTTCCAGCTGAAGTGGTAGAGGTTAACACAGTAAAGGAGTTTAAGCATGCCTGGGATATGCATAAGGCTTACCTAACTATAAGATAAGGCCAGGGACTAATGAAAGTATTTTAAAAAATTGGGAAACTAGATAGGCCAAATGGTTCTTATCTGCCATCACATTCCATGTTTCTATGTTTCTATGACATCCTTAGAGGGGAAGGAGGGAACTCTTGTATAGGGTCGGTGGTGAAGTCTATGGGAAAACCTGAAACAGTCTGAAGGATCCCGAGTGAGAATAGACCACTGTGAAAAAAGAAAAGAGTTAGACAGCTTGCAATATGTATTAGAGAATAAGGTAGGTGCATTACCTTGAGCAGAGCGACCCTGGAGAGAAGTAGACCGACATCCTTTGATTGATCTTCTATTGGTGAACAGTTTTCTGTGATAAGGGCGGGTATAACCTTAGTTCCAAGGCTAAGCTGGGCGAGGCCTGTAGCCTATGAAGGCAGATATGCCGGTAGCTTGGCCTCTTTGGCGCCCACCCCTGGCTGAAAAATGATTTGAGCTTAACACTCTGTGGAGAGAGGTCTAAGCTTTATTCAACGTGGTGAACACAGACTCACCTGTTGAGGTCCAGCATGAACTGATCACCAAACAATAGGACTTCGCCTTCGGACTGAGTTCTTTAGAACTCAAATCTGCCAGTTTAGCATCTAATTTATAGGGAGAAGCTTTTCCTTGTTCCATGGACATAGCCACATTAGCATTCCCAAGTAAACATAGGGCTCTTTGTGCCCATTCACAAGTGTGGATCCAAGGTACCTTCAGCAATGGCTTCATCCACCAAAATAAAAATCTGAATAATGGGGCCATCAATGTCCAATAACTTATCCCGGACCATTTTTAGGCCCTGTTCCAGGCCCTTGTGGGGCTCTTTACCTGATTTGCTGAGGAATGTAATTAGGAGAGGCTCACACTCAGGCTTAAGAGTCACGTTATCTAGTATCATTGGATAAGGGAATTCTGCCAGTAGTTTGTTTTGAACCTCTTTTACAAGAGATTTCTAGAGCCACATTCTGCAGAATTGGGCTATATGGGCCGGTGGTGCCCACTCAGCCGAGCGGGGATGTTTGATGATCCTTGGTTCAAACCGGGGCTGGTCACTAGAATACAACAGGATGTCTGATGATTTATCCTTGTTTTGGGAAGGATTAACCGGGGTAGAAGTCTGCACCAGGGGATGATTAACAAAGGAATCCCTGACAAAGGGAGTATTGCTTTGGTATTCCTCATCAGAGTACCCTGCGCAGTACTCGTCCACGACTTGCAGGTCGTGATGCGATGTTGAACCCTCCAAGGGGTAGAGTATGAAATGGATCGTGGAGGAATGAGACAGTCTAGGGGTTTTGGCTGGTGCCTTACCTTTATTGGCTGAGGCACTGTTGTCCTTCCAGAGGCGCTTGCGGAGCCCCTTCATGATCAGAATCATTATGAGACTCTTCCGAGTCGGAAATATTCAGAGCAACATGTGGTCTGGAAACAGGTTTAGCCTGTTCGTGATAAGCTGCAATAGCCTTCAGCATCGATTCCGCTATTGCAGAGAGGAGCCAAGATTTGAGCTCAGCAGAAACAGCAAAGTCTGGTTGTTCAGACATTTGGCTGAAGTGATGAAACTAATTAACAATTGAAAAGTAAAATTGGTGATACAAAAGGGGGTCACTCCGTTTTAATGCAGCAGGGGGTCACCCAGGTGTAAAAAGGTGGTCATCCTGTGAAGTCAAGGTTGGGTTCACCCAAGTGGGCAAATGGAGGTTACACGAAGTGCAGTAATAAGTGGGGGTCACCCACCAATAATAAGACGCAGAAGCAAACAAACAGAAACCAATGTACCTCTGTAGCAAAAAAAAACAAAAAAAAACAGGGGTCACCTTTTATAAACAAGGGGTCACACTTGTGGCAAGTTTATTGTTTGGATTTAATAATGATGGTAACAGATATTGCAGGAGAAAACACTTTTATTAAGCAAGTTGTCTGAACCTGTCAGTGGGGCAAACAGAGAGAGAGAGGTGCTCAGAATAACTGTATTAAATAAAATAAGATCTAAATAAATAAATAATAATGAAATTATAGAACCTACCTTGGAACCAGTAGGAATAGGTAAATAACTGCCAAAACGCTAAGTCCTCAGTGCAAGACAGGTAGAATAAGCTCTGTCGGCGAGATCAACTGCCGTACACTAAGATGGCCACCGTCACTAGAGCCACGGAGCTGCGTGCGTCACAGAAAAGGGCGGGAAAGGAAAAAGCAAAGCCGCAAACAGATCATGGCAGTATACATCTGAGAGAGTGTGAATATCAACTAGGAAACAAAACCGCGGCCAAATCGCGGTCAGCAAAAGACAGGGACTGGTAATAGTGGAATAGGAACAACACACAGTGGGTAACACAAAGAATGCTGTGGGGATCCTAACGTGAGGACCAAGGCCCTGTGGGCCGACAAAGGTCGTCCCCAAGGGTAGAGACCCAGTAAACAAACAGGATAAAGAAAAATAAGCCAAAATATAAACAAAATATAGAGATAATAAAATTAAAGAGACATTTAAAGTGTAAAGTGTTTTAGAAAACCATATAAATATACATAAATCTATAATCAAAGGGTTGTAAATTAGAACTGAATCACCTGGGAGGCAAGCAGCAAAGAAAGAGGAGTTGGGAGGAGTCTCACAGCCATATATTACCGACTAGATGTATTCTGATTTTTGTTCAAACTGTTTAACTATTTCTTTGCTGCTGGGAGGATTCAGTAAAGAAAGTAAAGCAAATATAAAGCCTCCTGTCTTGTCATAAAATTCTAAATTGCTTGACAAATCTTTCACCAATCACTGTTACCCAAGCAATGATCATATCCATTTAGTTTCTCAAAAATAGAACTATGCAGAGACAACACACAAAAGATAAGCATCTAAAATGCATAAGTCTATCAACAGATTTATGCAAAACTGATGTAAGGTTTTCAATTCTAAGTGTATAATATCTGAATCAAAATGTGCCTGTAAACACTATTTAATTTTCTTATTAAATAGCAACTTTCAGATTTGCCTTTGCAATCATCTCACCACCTCCATTCAGCCTGCACACTGTAATTGACACATTGTATTTGACATACCTATTATATTTGACAATCAGAAGAGATATCTGTTAATATAAATCAAGATTGCAGGTTTGCAAGGGTATCCTGCTGTTTACTTAAATGACCTAAACATTATTCAGTATAATATATACCTTCTTTAAATCATCACTTGTTCAGCCCATTATCAGCTCATACATGAGAAGCTGCCAGTATAATAACATGCGTTTTGCTTTGTAAGAACCATAGAATGCTATTTCCTTTTTTATCTTCTTACCCATACCGAAGCAAAGCAGAATAGGTTGCACTTCACAGGGCTGAAAGCAGCTTACATCCAATCTTGTTATTATTGCAGTGCACAGCACAGTCAGTGCTGGTGGAGCCTCCCAGACATGCTCAGATGAAGATGTTATCACAGCTACCATTAAAGGGACAAGGCAAAAGCAATATTACAAAACGTATTCACTGACTTCTAAATGGAGAACATGTTGCATATACAAAAAAAATTATTTACAATATGTGTTCATTATTCAAATACAATTAGCAATACAGGTTCCATATATACACGCACATACACACACACACACACGTTGTTTTTGAAATATTATTTTAGTCCAATAAAAAAGGTATCATTGCATTCTTCAATACTCTGGTATTTTGGCTATATATATATATATATATATATATATGTATATATATATATATATATATATATACACATACATACATACATACATACACACACACACACACACATATACACACATTATCTCACAAAAGTGAGTACACCCCTCACATTTTTGTAAATATTTTATTATATCTTTTATGTGACAACACTGAAGAAATTACATACTGCTACAATGTAAAGTAGTACATGTACAGCCTGTATAACAGTGTACATTTGCTGTCCCCTCAAAATAACTCAAAACACAGCCATTAATGTTTAAACTGTTGGCAACAAAAGTGAATATACCCCTAAGTGGAATGTTCAAATCGGGGCCCAATTAGCCATGTTCCCTCCCTGGTGTCATGTGACTCGTTAGTGTTATAAGGTCTCATGTGTGAACGGGGGGCAGGTGTGTTAAATTTGGTGTTATCGCTCTCACACTCTTTCATACTGGTCACTGAAAGTTCAACATGGCAACTCATGGCAAAGAACTCTCTGAGGATCTGAAAAAAAATAATTGTTGCTCTACTTAAAGGTGGCCTAGGCTATAAGAAGATTGCCAAGACCCTGAAACTGAGCTGCAGCACAGTGGGCAAGACCATACAGCAGTTTCACAGTACAGGTTCCACTCAGAACAGGCCTCGACATGGTCGTCCAAAGAAGTTGAGTGTCATGTTTTTTCTTTAACAAACGCCAAACAAAACAATAAGAACCATTCACTTTTTATTTTGAGGTAGTTTCAGCACGGCAAACTGATGTGGCAGCAGAGAGATAAACTGACAGTCCTTGAAAATAGAAGTATAGGTGATGTGTCCAGGGTTAGTCCATAAGCAATGTCCTTTATCCAGTCCGAGGTCGTTCAATAGGAGATCAAGCAGTATTGAAGGAAAATTTCAAAAGCAGAGTCAAGTCCAGTCTGAATTAGTTACCAAATAAGCAAAGATATAGGGGTATGAAGAGGAGATTCAGAAAAGGGTCCGGTGATGGAACACACAGTCTCTCTAGGAGTGATCCAAATGATTAGCAAGGAAGTTGATGCAATCAGTCAGATTAACACACTAATTGTACACACTCAAAGGGGCGTGTACTTCCATGCCGTCTTAAACGGCCAGTAATAAATGAATAAAATTCCTGGCATTGAGTGCACATGTTCAGCGTCATATCCAGAGGCTGTCTTTGGGAAATAAATGTATAAGTGCTGCCAGCATTGCTGCAGAGGTTGAAGGGGTGGGGACCAGCCTATCAGTACTCAGACCATACGCCGCACACTGCATCAAATTGGTCTGCATGGCTGCCGTCCCAGATGGAAGCCTCTTCTAAAGATGATGCACAAGAAAGCCTACAAACAGTTTGCTGAAGACAAGCAGATTACTGGAACCATGTCCTGTGGTCTGATGAGACCAAGATAAACTTATATGGTTCAGATGGTGACAAGCGTGTATTGCAGCAACCAAGTGAGGAGTACAAACACAAGTGTGTCCTGCCTACAGTCAGGTATGGTGGTAGGAGTGTCATGGTCTGGGCCTGCATGAGTGCTGCTGGCACTGGGGACCTACAGTTCATTGAGGGAACCATGAATGCCAACATATACTGTGACATACTGAAGCAGAGCATGATCTCCTCCCTTCGGCGACTGGGCCGCAAGGCAGTATTCCAACATGATAATGACCCCAAACACACATCCAAGATGACTGCCTGTTATGCTTCAAATGAATAGATGAGGAACACAACTGCAGATTAGATTATTTCCCTTTATTTAATAGGATAGAACTAATGGTAGGGAAAAGTCCTGTAGGTTTGCACAATTACTGTAGCTTTAAGGTTTCCTGGACATTGATAGCAATTAGATGAAAGCAAAAGCAAATGTAGCAGATTCAGTAGCAACAATGTTGTAGCAGGAGATAGTTAGCAAGCAGGATAAAGTTCAATAATAATGCAATTCCCAGAATATAGAAAAAGTGTATACTTAGAGTATGATGGGAGTAGTCTTCCATAAGCTGGGTCACTGTAGTCAAGAAGGAGCAGAAACATTAAATCAATCCGGGTCTTTAAGGTTAAGAGAGAGCAGGTTGAATGATATTCAGTCCGAGATCAAGGAGTGGAGAAGGCAGGGAATCCGTTTGAGAGTCCAGGAGTTTGGTACACAGTGTAACAACAAAGAGGAGCTTAGCCGGCACAAGGAACAGGGAGGTTACCTTAACACAATTACTAAGCAATTTCAAAATTGGCGCGGTTTCCTTATAAGGCGTGAGAAAGCCACTTCAGAGAAGAGTGTGAGGACTGTTCCGCCTACCAGGAAGGTTCAGAAAGGGAGCCGAAGAGGAATTGACAGGTAAGTCCTGACACTGCCTTGCTAAAGAAGCTGAAGGTAAAGGTGATGGACTGGTTAAGTATGTCTCCAGACCTAAACCCTATTGAGCATCTGTGGGGAATCCTCAAACAGAAGGTGGGGGAGCGCAAGGTCTCTAACATCCACCAGCTCTGTAAAGTGTCATGATGGAGGAGTGGAAGAGAACTCCAGTGACAACCTGTGAAGCTCTGGTGCCCATGAGGGTTCAGGCAGTGTTGGAAAATAATGGTGGACACACAAAATATTGACTCTTTGGGCCCAATTTGTACATTTCCACTTAGGGGTGTACTCACTTTTGTTGCCAAAGGTTTAGACATTAATGGCTATAACACATAGCCATTAATGCCTAAACCTTTGATATTTAAATAAGTACGTGTACAGCCTGTATAACAGTGTAAATTTGCTGTCCCTTGAAAATAACTCAACACAAGTTATTTTCAAGGGACAGCAAATTTACACTGTTATACAGGCTGTACACGTACTTATTTACATTGTAGCAGAGTGTCTTTTCTTCAGTGTGTTGTCACTTGAAAAGATATAAAAAAATATTTACAATTTCCACCCAGTAGCCTGAGAGCCATGATCCAGCTTTTCCAATACCTGGGGGTCTCTGTCTCCCCTAGAAAGACAGAAGGACCTGAAACATTGATAAACTTCCTGGGTATCACACTATATTCTGTTAATATGCAAGCCAGCTTGCCTAGAGAGAAGATTAGCCGCATTCTATCCAGAATCGATCTATATCTCTTTGCGGGATCTTGTAATCGTAAAGAATTACAGTCTCTACTAGGCTCCCTCAACTTTGCCATGAAAATTATACCACAAATCTAGACTGCTCAATCTGTTTCCCCGCACTCAGTCTGATATTTCTCGTATTTCACTGGACATTCCGGCTACCTTGGATTTACAAATGTGGCAGGAATTTCTCATGAGATGGAATGTGAAAAGCATGTTTATCCCTTTACTTACCTCTGATTCCCTTACTATTTTTACAACCGCGGTTGCCACCTCAGGCTTTGCTGCTATTTGTTGCAATAATTGGCTATGGGGGGTTTGGCCTATTGAAGTGCACAATGTATCCGGTTTTTCTACCACCTCTGCCCTGTTGGAGCTCTATCCTGTTGTAGCTGCTGCAGTGGCATGGGGTGCAGCATGGTCGGGTCAGGCGGTGAGACAACTCAGACAACTTAGCCACCTGCCACATAATTAACAATGGTCGTTCTAATCTCTGATCATTATGAGCTCTGAGGAAATTGACTTGGCTGGCTGCTAACCATAATTTCTTCTTGGTATGTGTCCATATTCCTGGCATTCAGAATGTAGCAACTGATCATTTATCTCGCTCTCAGTTTCAGAAATTGCACAAAGCTTTACCGACGGCAGCCTTGGTTGCTACCCCGGCTCCGTCATGGTAGGATATGACATGGGATTTTAAAATCTGTTAACTCATTGCAGGCTCCTTTCACAATTGGCTTTGTTTGACAATACTAGGAAATCATACAACAGGGCTTTCCGTGTTTATATAGATTTTGGTTAGACTTTCAGGTTGTCAATAAATATTCAATGGAAACTATTGTAGCTTTCACTTCTTTTTGCAACTTTAAGTTAAAATTATCTTACAACACCATCAAATTATATCTGACAGGGATACAACACCATATACTTACACATTGGCCAAACAACAACGGTTTCCTGTCATCTTATCAAATCAAAACCATACTAAAGGACATTAAGAATTCGACCCCTACACCACCATCTTCTACATAACATATTCATAGTCAACTCTTCCATCATTGTTGGACCTCTTAGATACAACCCCTTTAGAATCAAACACTAATCATGTCATTAAGACCGCCCTCTACTTAGCTTTCTATGGGTTCCTTAGACCATCACATCCCAAGACGCCATTAAAAGACACCAGATTATTAAAATAAAAGATCACTACATACTATCCCTCAACCACACTAAAACCACACCAAAAGATCAACTGGTAAAGATTTCCTATTACCCTACCGGCAACAAACGGTGCCCTGTACAGGTACTAGATAAATTCCTAACAATTGTTCCCGGTTCCTCTGACTAACCTTTATAAACCTTACATGGCAATGCTCTCACCACAAGTAAATTAATGCTCTATATTAAAATCTTACTAGCAAGATTAGGCC